AGAAGTCATTATGGATTTGGACTAGGGCTTAATAACAAAATGAGCAGAGTAAAAATATGCCTGCCTCCACATAGACTGACGGTTGCATCTTAGCAGAGATGCAGCAGTTGCCACCGAGATCATTCTGTAGACAGGCTCTCAGAAGAGAGAGAAGGTAAGGGATCGTTCATCTCAAGAATCCTGCTTGTGGTCATGGGGGTGCTGTTGGAGCCCCCACACTGTGTGGCTGACTGTGTGGCTTGTGGGAGCTTAGCCCCCCAACCAGGGATCCAGCCTGTGTCTCCTGAAGTGGAAATGCAGAGTCTTCACCACTGACCGCCAGAGAATTTCATCTTTTTTTTTTTTTTTTGAGTCTTTTTTTCTTGAGTTTGCTTGTTCTATTTGGTCTAGTATTCCTAGGGATACTTGAAGCTAGGCCCCCCCCCCCCCTTTTAATGGATATCATGGAAAATCAGAAAATATGGATAAACAAAGATAAGAAAAAAATTTCCTGTCACCCAAGGATTATCATTGTTATATCATAGTGTATATTCTTCTGAATGTTTCCTTCACATATCTGTGTATGCATGTATTTGTTTAACCACCATGAAATCATACTATTCATATTCTTCTTTACTCTACTTCTTTTAAACATTTTTATTTCAGTAAATTTTCATCTCATCTAATTTTACCATGTTCAGATTTTTCCAATTATCTCCCAAATACCTTTTTAACTGGTTTATTTAATATGCAGTCTGGTATGCACATTGTATCTGACTATTTCCTTTAATTTCTTATAGCACTGTTCCTATCTTTTCTTTTTCCTTTTAGAATAATAATAACACTGACTTACTGAGAACTCCTGCAGAACCAACTTTTGGATGAGCTGATTGCTTCCTGTGATGTCTATTCCCTGTGTTTCCTGTAAACTGGCAATCACATCCAATAGTTTGATGGAGCCGAGGAAAGTATTTTTTGCTTGATTACCAAGCAGAGGTGATGTCTGAACTTCACAGTGTATCACATCAGAAGTCACATCTGGTTGGCCCACTGTTAATGATGCTAAGATGAGCAATTGGATTAGATGATGGGATTTCATCTCTTTATGATGTCCTTAGGTTCTCCCTGCAATGACAGATAGTGTTTCTTTGGCAGTTTACAAACTCCCATCAGCCATTCACCTAATGATTTTAGCCCTTGGTGATCCTTGCCTGAATCAACCGTTTTGTGCAAAATGATGTTTTCTAATTCTGAAATTCCTACTTTCTGTGTTGGCACTCTTCTATAATATAGAACTAGGGCTGTTCATTTTACTCTAAAAGGTAGGATAAATGCATGCTTTTTAAAAAGTTACTATTAAGGAACTCCTAGATTTTCATGAATATGAAGTGTTTTTGGCTAGTTACAGTCTTTTCTTATTTTTGTGGGTTTTTTTCAATGCTTAAACTGATAAAACTTTGGCCAGTGGGAGCTGCTGCTTTTGTTCCTGTAGAACAGGTCTCAGAAAGCAGGTGGTGCTTTGGTTGGTGCTGTTTCTCTCACTGTTGTCCACTTTTGTAGCTCAAAACCTTCACTTTTCAACCCCTAAATCTTTGGAAATTCCTTGGTGATCCAGTGGTTAGGATTCTGCGCTCTTACCACCAAGGGCCCAGGTTCAATCCCCAGTCAGGGAACCAAGATCCTGCAAGCTGTGCAGTGTGGCAAACAAACAGAAACACAGAAATCTTTGTTTATGAGGTGACAGCTGCTAGCTCTTGAGTGTAGGAAATGCTTAAGAGAGGCCCACTTCATAGTGCTGGATTAACACACTACCATTACAATGCATTGAGGAGTAATTCTAACAGTGTTCAAAATGCAGCATTCTCATGACAGCTTAAAGATCCCTAACCATTTGTGCACATTTGTGTGAGTTGTGCGCATTTTGCCCAGGTCTCTGCAGTTCAGTTTTGTGGTTTAATGCCTCTTCTTCTGTATACTCAGATTTCACAGAATTTGCATGTATCTCAGTGTTTTTTCTGCTGATGTTTATTTAAGAAGATTATATGTTTGTTTCACAAACTTAATACAGCAATTTTCTCTTCAGAGCAATGTGCTGAAGAGTTTCAGTTACATTCCAACTATCCTTGAGAGAAGATGACATTTGGAAAACCATGCTACATGACAGCAAAAGAGATATGAGTTCTAGATGGGCCTGGCATTAGGAGACAGTATTACTGCCTATAAAGAACTGTTAATGGTCTTGTTTGACAATGTTTTAAGTATTTAGTGGTGTTGAATGACAGTGTTTCAAGTATATAACATACTAGCATGATAATTTGCTACAGGTGTGTATTTATTGTGTTTTTAGCTCCCTTTTAGGAAGGAAAAACCGGTAGGAGATATGATCAGAAAGGTCTAGGATACCCAGGTCATGTGAGACCTTGTAGACCAATGAGTAAGGACTTTGGATTTTATTTTGAGTGGGAGAGGTAACCAAGGGTTTTAGGGGAGGAGTGACATGATCCATCTGAACCTTGAAAAGCATCATTCATGCTACAACGTGGAGAACAGACTTGGGAGGTGGTAGGGAAAGTTCATGGGGAAAAGTAGAACTAAGGAGACTAGTTAGGAAACTGTCACATTAGTCCAGGTGTCGGCTTAGGTAGCAGCAGTGAATGATGCCGAGTAGTTATATTTCAGGCATATTTTTGAAATGGGACCAACAGGATTTGCCAGATCATCGAATGTGGGATGTGAATTAAAGAGAGGAGTTGAGGAAGATGCCAGGGGTTTTGACCAGAGATGCTGGTGAATAGTTATGCCGTTTACTGAAACTGGAGGTAGGTTTAGAGGACAAGGTCAGGAGCTCAATTTTGGACATGTTATGTTTGAGATGATGCTTAGATATCTAAGTGATATCAAGTAGGTGGCGGGATATAGAAATCTGGATTTCCTTGGGGTGGGAGGTGGGAGAGCTGGGGCTTGGAAATTAAAATTTTGGTGTCATCAGCCATGGGACTCATTGGGATCACTAAAGGAGTGAATATAGATAGAAAAGAGAAGTCTGAGGATTTACCCTTGGGACATTCCAACCTTTGTAAATTGGGGAGATGAGAATCGAGCCAAGGGGACACAGTCAGTGATGTAGGAAGCTTTCCTGAGGCCAAGTGAAGAAAGGGTTTCACGAAAGAGTAGGGTCAGCTGTTCACCTTCTAGAAGTCTTACACTTACACTTTTGTATTTTACATTTAGGTCTGTGATTCATTTTGTGAAAAATATGGTCAGTGTCTAGGTTCTTTTTTTTCCCCCTTTGGTATGTGGATGTCTGTTCATTTATTTTTAATGCTCTCTTTTGGAAGAGGTTTTTAAGTTGCTAAATTAGGTATCTCAACCTTCATCTTTCCAGGTTTGTGGAGTCCAACTTTTTGACGATGGTCCCAAACAGTGGTCTCCCCACAGTTGTTAGGTGGTGTTATGTGAACTATTGCCAGCAGTTTCATTCTTCTTAGATTGTGTCCAGCAGAAACACACATAATATCATACCTTAAATACAAGGGTTTTGTGTAAGGATAAGATAAATGTCTGTTTTGGTACCTCATTGAAAGGTATCTAATGTATGCTCGTATTTCATCAGTTCTTAGAATTCTTTTCACCAGTCTAATTTTAGTATTGCATGGCATTACACTAATAGGAGACACAAAATATAATTTTTACCAACTTCTGGAGACACATCTACCAAATCTTTGACAGAATAGTTTGTTGTGACTAAATTTGTCATTCTATATTCTCCCAGGAGGTTTTAGTATTTGGGTATATTGTTGTATATATATATTCTTCCTTCCAAATCATGGTTGTTGACTATGTTAAATGATGTTAACTGTTACTATTAGTAGCCGTGGGAACACTATGGTTTATATTATTCTTATCCATAATTGTACCTTTCTGGCAACTGCACCTTCTCCCACCTTATCCTTCCCAGAATTGTCCTCCAGTGGCAAACACTTGCTAAGCTGATTAATGTTTCTTTCTTTCTTTTTAATTGGAGGGTAATTTCTTTACACTGTGTGTTGGTGTCTGCTGTGCAACATTGCAAATCAGTCGTGCCTCTCTCTATAGATACCCCTCCCTTGTGAGGCTCCCTCGCACCCCCAGTACGTTTATTTCCGAAAAATAGAAATTGATAATAAATACTTGCAAATGTTTTTTCAGCATCTTTCGATGTGATCAAACTTTTTAAAGATTGGTTCTTATGCTAATACTTTGTTGATAATTTTGTTGAATTAGTTAAGGAATCAGGCTTTTCTTAAGACAAATGAATAGATCATGGTGACATACTGTATCACATATGCAGTTAGTGTGTGCTAATATATATGCTTAACTATGTTTAGCATTTTTATTCTTGTGTTTGAGGTTAATTTGTTTTCTTATTTTAATCCTCTTTGTATTTTATAATCAGTATCATATAAAATGGGAGACAATGCTTTATATTAGGAAGTTAGGAACGTCACTGTCACTGGTATTATTGAATCTGTACCTTTGAAGAAATTATGTTACATTTATCTAGTAAGGACTCTTTTGGCCGTACTGCACTTGTGGGATCTCAGATCCCTGACCAGGGATTTGAGCCTGGCCCCCTGGCAGTGAAAGTGCCAAGTGCTAACCACTGTGCCACGAGGGAATTCCCTGGAGACTTTTTATCCTTTGTAGCTTTTAATAACTTTCTCTGTTATTGACAATTATATTCTCATTTTCTTTTATGAATATATAAGGCTAATATATGATAAAAATCTGTCTTTAAAGTCTAAAGAGTTATTTCAGTAAGTGTGAAATAAAAATTTTTAGTATTAAGGAGATGTGTCAGAGTTTAGTTGGTAGCATTCTTTCTCAAGGATGTGGAATATTGGGACATCTGAAATGATGACATTGTCGATTTTATAAAATATGGTACCTATCAGCGTAACATCCACAGGAATGGCAGTGGGATATCTTCTTAGGTTCAGCTCAACACTCGCACATTCAGACTGCTAAAGCCACCGCAGATCTCACTTGGCAAGGCTTTATTCGGAAGGATATAGGACAGAAACTGTAACTTTCTGTTAGATAAACTGCAAGACAGCGGCAGTCCTTGCAGCAGCTCATTGTTTCTGACGTGCTCTTCTCACAGCTAAGGGTCCGAGAGGCAAGGTCCACGATGGGTGGTGCGGGAACTCCATGGGCATGGTTCCAGGCTCTTCTGCCAGGGACATGCATGCCTAATTAATTACGTGTCACCACACAGAGAAGTTCAAGAACATGGCTTCCTACACTCTGTCTGCTTCCAGTCCAGATGCAGTTTACTAATTTGGTAGTTTCTGTCGTAAAACAGTGTTGCCAGATAACATAGGTGGCATGCTATCTTAATCAGGTTCACAGGGATTAACCCAAGGTTAAATTCTTATATATAAGGAGAAGGGGTTTTGCTCATTTTGGACCACAGTCATGCTTGCTGATTTTCTCACTTATGCCTTCTTATTTTATACAGTATCATCTTTCAGAAGGCTTTTCTTACTCCAATATTATTTTTTAAATCGGCATTTTCTTTTAAAATTGGTTTTACGTAGATCTTGAGCCATCATTGTCTGTATGGTGAGGTAGAAGCTGAAACTTTTTACAGATGGCTTGTCCCTTGTTCCAGTCATTTATTGCACGGTCATTTGTTTTCCTATTGGTTAGAAATGTCACTCTTGTCATAGAGCAGTTACTAGGAGGTAGTTCATCAAATTAACAAATGGTTGGGTATATTAAAAATGTATATTTTAAAGTAATAAAAACCTACTTTTAATCGTGTGATTGTGTATTAGATTGTGTTACTCATATGCTGCGAATTTATAGTGTCAGTTTTTTTCCTAAAAGCCAGTATATGTAGTGTAAAAAGCAGTATTCTTTTTTCTAAACAGAAGTTTGCCTTATTGAAGGCTGTTGTGCTTATTTAGGTGGCCTTACTCAGAAAACTAACCACTCAGTGCCGTGGAAAGCGGGGAATTAAGGGTTTGAATCATGGGGTCCTGGTTTCAGACCTGCTACTTCACTGACTGCCCCTTTGTTCAAGGCAGCCTGTCTGTGTTTTGTTTTGCTCAAACTGCACGAATCCCAATCCCTGTCCTGCCTATTTCCGAGTATTGTTGAGAATTAGATGGGCTGATGGATATAAAGGCATGTGTAATTGGTAAAGCAGGTTAAATGTGAGGAATTATTGCATCTTAACTTTTCCTCCCTTTCTCTTGTAGGTAGTGTTGGCGCTTCTTTTCAGTGCCAGTCCATCCATCACGACCACATTTGTCATGATGACAGTGACAAGGTGAGGTCTGTGTTGATGTCTACAATGGTGAAAATGCATGCTGCCCTGTATCACTGAATTCACTTGCATAACTCTGGATGTAGAGGCAGGAGTGTGTGACTTGGGGGGGCACAGTGTTGAGATGCAGGGGGCCTTTCTGGTTTGTTGCTGAGTTGTTAGACTGCTCCAGAAAACTTGCAGGTAATTCCAGGAGGTGGGCTGGGCTCCTGATAACCCTTCCATTTCCTTACCCCCATTCCTGTCTCTGTCACTGCACTTCCTCTTTTCCTGAACAGCCTGGATGGATTATCTTCATATCCGAACAGGTGTTTCCAAAACTGATCACTATCTCAGCAATTTGTGTGTGTTTCCAATTTGAAATATCTTCGACATTCCAGTTTGGTCTGTTCTGTAGTTGACTATATTATGGCTTCTTCTTATACTTACTTTTTTTCTTTTTTTTAAACTCCGTTTCCAAAGCCCAATTTAAATGTTGAGGATTGAGAATGGAACCTGTCTGCTTCATGCCAAAAAAACCTGCTTTAGGCTTGTTTTGTTTTTTAAATCAGGTCCAGACTTTTGGTATTTTGCTTCTGTTCTTTTATCTCTAAAGAAAGTGATCTTTGGGGGCTTTTCAGTACTCACGAGCACCCGTGATGGCCAGGCCCTGAAGTGAATACTAACGCGGGCTTGGTGTTTGGAACCTCTGGCCGCTGATACTGGAAGGGCTTAAATTCAGCCTTTTCCATCATCAGTTTCCAGTGGTTCCCCNTGTCTTGTGGACAGGAATGTATCACTGCCCTGGTAGTTTCCCCAGGCAGACCAATCCAAGTGATGTTTTTCTCTGCTGTTTTAATCAAGATCCTCCTCCCTCATCCTGTTGGAGCCTGATCAAGAAGTTGGTTGAACACTGGGATTTTCCAAATGGCCTTTGTTCCGTGTGTTGATCTCTCTATGAGCTTTGCTCAGTCAGATTTTGGTCTGTTTATGGAAAGAGTGGTATACTTTTAGTATTCCAGATTCTCTCTTATTATGATAGTCATCCAGAGGCATGGGCTTAACTTTTAGCTTCTTTCAGAAGCAAGCCACTGAAAGAGACTTCTAGACTATATAGTTAGCTCCCTAAAATGTAGTATACCACAGATTTTAGAAATAAGCATCTGAAAATAAGACCAATGATAGAGACAAAAGGCAAAATCACTTTAGGTCAGTAATACTACGAGCCGCTGTGTTACATAATTGTAAAGATGGGTTAAATTTTCTATCCCCTGCTCAGTATAATATGCCTCTATCCATTGTTCACTTACAGTGGAGAAGCCAGATTTAGAGTCTAGAGATGAGATTTCTGTCCACCTCTGCCACATATTTTTTATCTACTTTAAAGTGATTTTCTTTCTAATGTCTGAACCTTTGTATGACTGATTTTGTGCTTTTAGGATGGGGTCTCTCCTGAAACACATGGGGAGAGGGAAGAGAAATTTGAGGCATTTTGTCACTTGATCAGCCTATCAAAGAGCCGTCAGAAACTGCTCTGCTCTCCTTTCCCTCCTGCCTACCATGCATATATTTATGATTGTCTCCCAGAGGGAAATGGAGAGAATGGATTAGGGTCTCTTGAATATATTTATAATTTATTCAACTGATTCAGTCAGCAAATAATATTTGTTGATTGGCAGCTATGTTTCTAGGCACTTAGGGAATATATCAGGATACAAAGCAAAGATTGCTGTTTTTTCTTAAATGTGCAGTCTGATGGGGGGGCAGACAATAAACATAAACGTAATATGTTGTACAGTATGTTACAGTAAGCACAGTGGATTGAAGAAAATGTACAGCAGAATAAGTGGGATGAGGACCACCAAGAATTGGATGGTACAGATTGCAGCTTTGAATAGGATCATTAGACATTATTCTGGGAAGGAGAGTGGTAGATAGGATAAGACTCAGATCACTATGTTTGTAGCAGCCTCTGACTTCTTTCTTTCTATAATAAATGGGTGTTGGTTTTGCAAAGCAGCAGTGACACCTGCTCCCTGGTACATGCCACCTGGATTATGTGTTCTTTTCTCTCTCTCCCTGAAAATTGACAGGATTACAGAGCACAGCTAATTCAACCCTGTTTTTAAAATAAACTTGGAAGCTGTGATCCCAGTGGAGAAAAGACTCCATTCCAGGGAGTCACCCTGGAGTGCTGGGGCTAGATCAGTTCTTCTATCCCAGATACAAGCCACGTAAAATAATTGTCTGGTTATTTCTGAAGACATTTTCAAAACACATGGATACTTACTATCCTCACTTAACTTTCAGGCATGGTTCATTTCTCAGATTTTGAAACAAAAGTTGATATTTCTTAAAAGTTGTCTGAATTCTAACTAGTGCATGTGTGATGGAGGTGAAACCAGGAGCAAAGGGGCCATTTGTTGTCCATCCCTTCTGTAGCCTTGCAAGTGGCAAGCCCTCAAATCCCATGATTGAGCTTGTTTTCCAACTTGAGTTTCTCTGCTGCTGTACATCGGCTTGACAGTGCTGGAAGGAGCTGATTGCAGCTCTGAGGTTTACTGCTGAATGCTGTGAATTACATACTTCCATGTTCAGTTTATACTGGGCACAGCAATTCACACAAAGCCCTCTAGGAATATTTTTATATTCATTTATAATGTCATACCCCATAATTTCCAAGTAGCAAACATCAATTACATATTTGAGTACCTACTATAAAGTAAGCGTTGTTTCAGGCACTGGAGACAAGTATAGTGAACAAAACAGCAGGAACCCTTACTCTTAAGGGGCTTGCTCTCTCTGTAAATGGCTAGGGAGATGGCAGAACATAATTAAAGGTACTGTTAGTTCATTCGTGTTTTGAGGAACAGTAAATCAGGTAAGGGATACAGGAGTATTAGGAAAAGATTGCCTTCCAAACACCCTTTGAAATAGGGATTGTTTTACTCCCAGTTGTAAGGTGAGGAATGTGAGACAGATTAAGTAATTTGCTCTAGATTACCCAGTTAGTAAGTAGTAAACAGGGATTCAAACTCGAGCTCCTTAATTCCAGAGTCTGTATTTGACCAACTGAAGAAATCTGTTCCTAATGTCGCTTTATATGCTCAACTCTGACGGGCTCAGAGAAAAATGTATCTTCTAGTGAAGGCCCTGGAGAACCACAGTGAACCAAGTCAGTCGGCAGGCAGTTTTGGTCTGTTGGTTTTTTCTTGTCCAGCCTTTTGACATCCAGAAGGGTTCATGACTGTTCCTCCAGGCCTCTCTAAGCTGAAAGCCCTGCTTCATTCTCAAACACCTGTAAGAAACCTCACATCCTGCGTTGCTGTATTGTGCTGATCAAACGTGATGGTTATGTAAAAGGACTTTAAAAGGATAAAGAAGAGGGGAAATACGTGATTGTGACAGCATATTTATGTTTCACTTAGGTACTGAAATTAACCTAACTCAGCTGATGTACTTGAGATACTTGGAATTAAGTAGTCATCTTCACAGTGAGAACAAACCTGGCATGGGGCAATAGGTCTATCCTGAGGATGAGGTAAAACATTGAATAGTCTGGTAAGAGGAGACTTCAAGTGAGAGGAATGAATTTGTAGCCTACACTTTTCCTGAGTGGCCTGGTAATATGTCTGGGAAGGCTGGCCATCTGAGAGAAGGAAATGGGAGAGTTCTTTCTAAACTGCATGTATGTAAATGGCTGCTCAGAGCAGAAGTCCTTTCTGGACAAAATTTCCTTGTGCTGGCCTTCAGTCCTTTGGTCACGGAAGGAGGTACCAATGACCATTTGTGTATGATCATCCTACACAGCCCACTTTCAGAAAGGTGGGAGATGTGCTGTTGGGTTTTTTTCCATGACTGTATACTTCCTTTTATCTTTTAAATTTTTTTTAAAAATTAGGTGGTGATTAGAAAAAAAT